TCAATCATATGCAAGTTAATATACATCGATAACAATACAATAAGATAAATTCACGAAATATATATGCAAAAGTAAACGCGATTATGTATGCGAAATCTGCCACCAGGGCCAGGTTTATTATATAATAAAATACAGACAGATTACGTACAATAATTTTTATTTCTCATTCTGAATATGTAAAGAACAATTAGTAAATAAAATCATTTTTGATATATGTAATCCTTTTTGCGGATAATACATGATAAAATACAGTTAAAAAAATATCTGTCATTTTTTAGATTCTTGGATACGACGTTTTTTAATTTCATGCTCATCACACATTGTAATCCTATCCCTCAAAAGACCAACAACAACCCCAACCACCTTTTTAACACCCCTCTTAATCGATTCAAGATCCTCCTTTAATGCAGTTTTGGATAAATTTATTCGGTATTCACTTTTACTGGTACAATATAGCCCTTCTGCACAAAGTTTAATAAAATGCCATTCCGTAGCTATACAGAAAAGTGTATAATAATAGTATGACCCTTTTGCAAGAAAAAAATTCGTAATAAAATGCCAATAGAAATATTCATACCTGTAGAGACTATTCCGTAAAGATAATCATCATCATCATTTTGAAATGCCTGTTCTGCGTTTCGTTTCCTTTTATTCATAATGCTTGCACTTTCCAGTTGCTTTATATTTTGGAGATAACCGATTTCAACATTACGTGGCTTTCCCTCAGCTATACATATAAGATCCTCATTTCCTCTGATTGAATAATCAACACGTCCAACACTATCTTCACCAGATACATCATCTTGGTACGCAATATATATTTCTTCATCATTGGTAAGTTTTCGTGTAATTGCTATTGAAGCATTCAGGATAGATGTAATAAAAATACAGCGGGTAGCTTCATTGGTACTATCTTGCATGATTTCCAAATTCGAAAGTCTCAATATAATTTCTTTCATACACTGTTTGAGATCCTTATCACCATCACCAATTTCTTCGTAAACTATAGAAATATATATTTCTTTAGTCATCACTTCGTTAAACAGGTATTCTATTACAAAAGTGATATATGTATTATTTACCTGGATTAAATTGCTTTATAAATGTAATTTTTTCACCGTTGACTTTATACTTGCGAAGGACGTCTTTTAGCTCATCCAGGGTTTTATATGATGAGAAACTACGTAATTTTGTTTCATTAAGCTTTTCAATATATTCTATAATTCTTGTTGTTGGCCCTCCTAACATTCCCCATTTTTCTAGTTTTTCTTCAGATTTAAGGGTTTACATTTTTATTACATAACATACGTGTACACGTACATGTATACATATATAAG